CTTTGAAGAGAGAGTTGTTGGAGAATTTGTGGGTATATTTTAAATTCACAGCCTAAAATATTCGCTTTTTATTTTAAGCCACCGCCATAAAATTTTTTGTTTTCTCTTAGGCTCCAGTATAAAGAATATCCACCATCTAGTCTCTCCCCCCATTTTCCACTCCAGACTTATGCAAAGCTATGGTGCACCTTCTCTAGGGTGTCAGGCGGCTGCATATTTGCTGTGTGAGTTTTGTTCTCATTGATTTCCTATCTACGAAACAGATTCCCGTCCTCCCTCCCCAGCCTGCAACCAAGGACGCCTTGGTTATCCTCAAGCGGGCAGCCGGCAGAGCTAGAGCAGGGAGATCTTCAGGGCTGTTGACAGCCATTCTAATACAAAGGCTGTTTTGAGAACTGTGACAACTCAGATAGACGGAGTCCATGCTGGCCATGCTGGGAAACTCAGATCTTGCTGTTGGTATTACTCAGCATTAATCAAGGGGCAGGCTTGAGTGGGGCTGAGAAAGTCCATCCATCACAGTGAGACGACGTCATTTGTTTGGGAGAGGCTCGCTGTTAGTTTCTTGGAGTGGCATGTGTGTGTAGATGAACTGATGCTCTTGAGATAACCAAGGGAGGTTTGCCCTGTTGTGGGTGGCTGGAGCTGTGGGACCAGGAAGATAAAGAAAGCTGGACAGATGGCTCAGAGGTTAAGAGCACAGGCTGCTCTTCCAGAGGACCTGAGTTCAATCCCCAGCAACCACATGGTGGCTCACCGCCATCTGTAATGAGATCTGGTGCCCTCTGCTGGCATATACGCAGACAGAATACTGTGTATACAATAAATACATCTTTAAAAATAAAAAGAAAGAAAGCTGTCTACTCACACCCTCAAAACCATCATGCTACCCCATGTGTTTAATGGGCTCCATCAACACAAAGCTGCCTAGTGTGGGGCTAGGTGCATCCTGTAACGCCAGTGCTGGGGAGCAGGTACAGGAGGACCCTGGAGCTCACTGGCAGGCAGGGTACCAACCAGCTCCAGCCATGACAGAAAGAAAGAAAGGAGAAGTGATGAAGACACACACCAGGCTTCCATATGCATACATGTGCATTTGTGCCTCCACACACGCACACGCACACGCGTGGGCATGTGCACACATGCACACACGCACGCACGCATGCACACGTGTGCATGTGCACGCATGCACACGCACACACACACACACACACAGACTTAGACACACAGGACTGTCATGTGTACATGGAATTCTACAGACTGCTGAAGGAGCCACTTCTGCAACAATCCCCCCAAAGTGCAGGAGTCCCAAGTGCAGAGCGGAGTGGGGAGCAGAACGCCCAGGAATTGTGGTGACAGCTTTGGGCTTCCCTAGCATGAAATCTGCAGGTATCTAGCTGAAGTCTGCCTCATTCTTTAAGAGGAAAAGAGACCACAGACTCAGTGAATGAGATGTAGGCTGTTAGAGCTCTACGCCCCCAGATAACACCTGATCGGTTCCTTCTCACCCTGAAGCTCAGCACCAAGGTAGAGAAAACAGCTTGGCCGTAAGGCAAGCAGAGGAAGCATTGTCAGACTGTCATTACACTGGGCTGGCTGTCCATTGCCCACCAACTGGGTCAGAACACAGGGCTCCCATTTGCAGGAACAAGAATGCCCATGATGTGAGTATTCCATCCTTGCCCCAATCCATGGGGAGTTGAGATGCTCCCAAAAGCCCAGCCTCATGACTGATTTTTCTCTTCTCTCCTATAAGTTCATTTCCGCTCACACATAAACCCCTTTGTAAATTCCTTCCGGTGCACAAACAAAACCGTTAGTCATACAATTCTAGCCTTTCCTCTGTCCTCATTCACAGAGAAATTCTTGAAAGTTAGTTCTAGCTGATGTAGCAATAGGCTGTCTGGCTTTGACCTACTTCATCTGAGCCTCTCCCCAAGTAGTACCCCAAAAAGGTTCTATCAAGGTCACCCATGACTTCCAGCAGCCGCTCCTGCTCTCATTAACGAATGTCACCCAGCAGATCTCAGCCAACACAGACGCAATCCCCTCCCAACAGTCTCTCTTTCCTCTCTCTGCTTGGCTTCTCTTTCTTGCTCCAAAGGCAAACTGGATACATCTGCTTCCCCTGCACCCCTAGAGTCAGGGCACCCGTAGGTCAGTCCTGGCGGCACCCCCTTCCTCTTCCAGACCTGAATTTCTGTCCCATGTCAAACTGATATCTCCCAAATCTATAACTCAATCTGTGGACATGATGTGTTTACTTGGTGGCTTAAGGGGAGCCATTTAAGATGTCATCTTTTCTGGGGACTTCACTCTCGGGCTCTGTTTCTGTAAATGATTTTCCCACTCATCGAAGAACCCCAGCCAAAAGTTGAGGCATCGACCCTTACTTACATCTTTTCTTCCCATATCACATTAAACACACTCACTTAGACCATTGCCTTAGCCGAGGCCACCAGCCTCAGCTATATAATTAGACTATCTGGTCAGCCACCCCCTACCCCAACCGTAAGTGTCCATTTGGCTACAGTCAACCTCATTTTAGGCTCATTACTGCCCCTACAAGTACTTTCCTCTGATTTTTGCATATTTAATGTCTAGTCACTGTATTCCTTTCCCATTTAAAAATAAATGGGTGTGTCATAAAAAGTTTTCATGGGGCTGAGCCCCACTGTAGAGACCCTTATAGGGAGCTTTCACGGAAGCTACAAACATTACACATTGTTCAAGTGTGCTGGCAATTTAAAAATGACAAAATTAAAGCCACCAAAAGCCAACGCGTTCTCTCATCCCGATAAAGGAGTTAAGGGGCGAGGGCAAAGGTGGTCACCAAGGAGACAGCATGAGCTACACACTTGTTCCTAAGACAGGAGCTCTCGAGGTCAAGTTCAGTACACGCCTACATTGCCTTTGAGGACATGGTTCACTCCCGAACTCACTGCATCTTAAAAACTGAAATATTAGCTAGCATTGGGGACTTAGCTCGGTGGTAGCTTGCCTAGCAACCCAAAGGTTTAGGCCTCAGCTCTGAAAATCGAAAACAAACAGGATTCACAGTACGGCTTACAAGTGTAGGCCTCAGAATTCTCGTCTGCAGAGCGGAACTAAGTACTCACCCCAAGGACTGAAGAGAGGGCGGTCCAACATGACTGTAATGCGCTCCAAGTGTCGCCGTCTCCGCAGGAGAATCAAGGCTGGTGATCCCTCCAGGGTTTTCCCCATCTCTGTTGCCACTCGGACGTCTAGGTCATCGTCGCTGAGCTTTAGCTCTTCTCTGGCTCGCCTGGCATAGAAGACCGCACTCCCCACACAGAAGGTGCTGCTTAGAGGCTCCCATCATCCCACCTTGGCGGGATCTGGTTTATACTCTAACAAATAAAGTGTGTCTGAAGAGCAGAGGGCAGAGCTTGCCGCTGGCTCACCATAGAGGTCTGGAGGTCTGCACAGACAGACAGGAAGATCAGGCTGGGCAGAGGGAGGAAGACAGGCTGGACGAGACAGGCGCTTACTCTCTTCGTTCAGCCTGAGGATTTCGCAGCGGTGGGAGCTCCAGAGGCTGACGCTCTGCTTCTCTGATCTATCAGCTTTCACGCCCTAATATCTGACTCCAGGCTTTTGTTATTAAGACCTATTAGAACTCGTGTTACCCCACCTGCTGAATTCACCCATGGCCCTAAACACCTACACCCTTTGGGTTGGCAACCTCTATGTAATCAACACTGAACGGCTTCTCCTTGAGACCACTGCTTCCAGAGAGTTCCTCTGAAATGATGGTTCAGGGAAAGCAGCAGCAAACTGATCCGTCTCCAGCTAAAACTATCGATGCCGAAGCTTTAGAGTTCTTGTAAAGACACAGTTGTAGAATTTGGGTCTTATGTTCTCTATGAGAATAAGTCATTAATAAGTCAGTTTGGCTGGGGGTAAAAAACAAAACAAAACAAAACAACAAAAAAAAACTGTCCCAAGACTTTTTCGACAGAGATCGATGCAATAAAATTGTGTAAAATTGTGTAGTACTACTAACAGCTAGAAAAATAATTTTCACAAGGATAGAAAATAGATTAAAAGTGGCAACCCTTAGGACAAATAAAATCAAGTTACAATACAATATATTATGATGTCGGACTGATTTTCAGTCTAGCTGAACTAACTCCCACGGAGACTGGCCTGTGGAGAAGAACAAACTGGAATTATTTTAAAGCAACAATTGCACAAGATCCCCAAGTTTTGTTCCAGCCCAATTTCACCACATTCTGCTTCTCTGTCTCTTGTACCAGTGACCGAGTTGTCAACAGGAATATACAGGCTGGATGAGCAAAATGCTATACAGGATTGACTGTGTCCTGCTTAGATTTATTTATTGATTTATTATTTTATTTTTTTGTCAACTTGACATAAACCGTGGTCGTCTGGGAAGAAGAAGCTTCAGCTGAGAAAATACCTCATTAGACAGCGTGGGAACTGTCTTAATTAATGACTGAGGTGGGAGGGGTCCAGCTCACTTCCAGCAGGGTCGGTCATCAGGGTGGTTCTGGGTCGGGTCGTATAAGAAAGCAGGCTGAGCGAGCCATGCGCACGCACTACCCACGGCTTCTGTTGGAGCGCCTGCTCGGAGTTCCAGCCGGGTCTTCCCCGAGTGTGACCTGGGATGTGCAAGCCAAAACAAACCCTTTCCTCAACAAGCTGCGTTGGTTATGTTGTTTATAACGGCAACAGAAAGCAAATTACATCAGCCTTTAAGAATTTTATATTTTTACAGTGTTGTGATTGATACACAGAGAAAATGAAAGGGAAAAAAAAGCCTACATACTATTCTTTCCTCCTAAAAAGAACACCAATGTTCTGTTAGAACAATCACACCAGCACCTCCCCACCCCCACCAAGGTTCGAACACCCAATCCAGCCAGGGTTTTCAGTGAGGTGCGGAAGAGAGCCTTTAACTCAGTGTGGGGGGAGGTGTTCCCCATGAGAAATAACATTTACACACAAAGAGGAAGCATGTTTGAAACCTTTTATTAAACAGGCGATGCATTGTGCAATGGTTCAGGACACAGATGCCTAGTGGAAAAGTTTAAAAATTATTTTTGGAAACAGTCTATGAATTGACAAACCCTGCCACATCCGGTCCTCCCCTTCTCGAGGGTGGACATCTTCAGGAAACTGGATTGTTATGTAGCTGCTCTTGTAAATGGCATCCCTGCTTTACCATGAACGTCATGCCTATTAGTAAACACAAAAGATGACGATGGTCCACAGCAAGACAGTGGCCAGAGGCACTGGCTGATGACAAGTGACAAAGCAGGACCTGGGACTCAAAAGGAGTTCTGGTTCTGTCCTTAAAGTGCACTCTTCATTTCTATTTGCTGGACTGGGGACTCTGAAGGGTCACATGGATACCTCAGCACAGGGAGGAGCTTTTACAGGGTTCCTCTTGCTGCCCTCTGGCCCAGGACTGAGGCTGTCTGGTCTCCTGGTTCCTCTCTTCCCCGAGCACATCATAATTCGTTGACAAAAATCAATCTTAAGTTTCACAGTCTGTTTGCCATGATTTATTGGCAGTTTAAAACTAAGCAGCCCATCAATGCAGTGGACATCGGCAAGCTGCCAATCTATTTTATGATTTGGGGCATGTCGCTCCAAGCTTGGGATTTCTTTCTGGCGAGTTCCATCCAGGATGGCTGATCTGTACTTGCATAGCTGGCTCTCTTCAGCTGATGCAACTCCTTCTCTGTCATGGCTGCAGCCTGAGCTGCTGGAAAGGAGACAAAAGCAACAGACAGAAATGTGGGTTTTCACTAAGCCTCTTGAGTAGCTGTAAACACATTACAGTCTCCACTGTGTTCCGCAATACACGGTCCAGTAACATGTAAGTGTAAGAAGATTTAAGCATCAGGTATGGCTTGTATGTGATTGAAAGAACATAGCAGCAGGCTTAGATGGTTCTAGAGGCAAAGTGGGTTGAGAATGTGCTGGGTCTAACCACGGAACACTGCAGGTAGGCTGCACATTGGACCAAGCCTAATGCCTTCACAAGCACACGCTAAAAGCTTGGAAAAGTTAGATTCTTGTGTCTTTAGAAAATACTAGGGTCTTTCAATTCGGTGGTAGAGTATATGATTAGTGTGCATGAGATGCTGGGCTCAACATCCAGCAGCATTAAAAAACTCACACATGCTACCACAGTGAGCTCCGGGTCACATTCAAAATCAGCCGAGAAAAAAGGCCCATGTTTTATGCTTTCACGTTCCCCAAAAAGGCAAATCTTACAGAGACACAAATAGGTTAGTGCTTACCTACAACCATCTATTCCTGGATTGCCACCAGGGCGGCAGGACTCTACAAACATACATAATGTCACTGGAAGGTACATCTGCTGAAATGTACATTTAAAATGGTTGAGTTTTATGATGTGTACATTTCAGCTCAATAAAAGCCGCATTAAAAAAAAAAACCAAACAAACAAAAACAAACCCAGCGCAACACAATTCAGCAAAAAAAAAAAAAAAAAAAAAAAACCAAAAAAAAAAAAACGATTTAACAAAACACACTCCCAACTGCAGGAAGATTCTGGTTACAATGACGGCAAAGTGAGTGGAAATTCATGCCTATCTCATACCCAAGTTCTGATGGGACAGTGAGATCCCTCTCTGTAGACCCTCCTTGGGGCTCAGCTTTGACCCCTGCCTCTGGGTCACAGCGGGCTTCGCAGGGGTCATCAGGAAAGATTTGCTCCGGACGAAGTCACCCTGCTTTGCAGAGTCCTGTGGAGACAGAAGGGCCACATGCATGCTGTCCAACTCTACAGACTCACAGGGGCACACGCCCAGACTGACTTAGTGACAAGACGCCCCTCTCAAGATGAATCACGCTCCGGGCTCTCTGTGGGCTCCTCTGTGCACCAGCTCAACAATGTCACCCACCAAAGCGCCAGAGCTCTGCCCTGTACCAGCCCCTTCCTGCCCACACCCACATGGTGGTTCTGTTCCTTGCTCCAACAACAGTCTCAGCCCCAGATGGTGGACAGCAAGGACTCTATGTGAAAGCCAAATGAATCTGGTTTGGAAATCATTTTGTGGCTTTGTGACACATGGTAAAATGGCACCCGCTGAAACGGGCTAACATTTCCTTCTAGAATTTCCCGTCCCCTGCCCTTCATAAAGGTCTTCAGCCGCGGCTACAACTGATACGCATCAGCAGGGAGGGTAACAGGGTCCCTTTCCCACACAGCAGAACCCGGCTTATGCTGCTTATACAAAAGGGAGGCGCTGCCTGCTCCTAAGAGCAGCTGTTTGGGTTGGTGAGAGCGGTTTTCAGCTGAACACATAATGCAAGCCTGGGCTTTAGCTGTGCACCCCCAGGTGAGGAATCAGGGAACCCAGCAGGCAGTAACAGGGACCGGGTTCATTTATCACTGCACAATGAGCTGAGATGGATCTGGTGACAGTCTCTAAGGGGAGACGTTGTTTTAACTGTCTTCAATTTTTCCAGAGGCTGAGCTGCTTTGCCTAGGAGGCCCGAGCACGGAGCTGTCTCCACTGCCTTTGTCAACAGCCCACAGGCGGGTTGTTCCTCTACGGGAAGCTGACTTATTGACTCGGCCTCGCTGGTCCTCAAGTGCGTATCGGCAGTCACCACAGGCACCGGCTCTGTGATGCCCATGCAGGATCTCTGCGATCCCCGCAGCGCCTGCCCCCACCACACCCTGCCGCCCCCAGCCCCTTGAACGCCACAGAGACAGGGTTTCCTCTCAGCACCTGGGTTGGCTTTCTGGCTTCTGCCTTCAGGATCCGAGGCCCAGGCTTGTCTTCCTGGCTGACAGGTAGGTCTGGGGCTCTTCGCTTCTGCCGGTTCATGGTGATCCAGGGTGGGGTGGGCTGCCCATCAGTCCCAGGACCTGTAGCTGCGGGAGGCTGACCCTTTTCTGTGACCAAGGCAACAAGGGAGCAAGGTTAGAAAGACACTGCGCCCCTTTGCTTGGGTCTCACTGACTTCACACCCACACAGGGAGTACAGAATTGCCGTAGCTGGGGAGGAGGCCGTAGCTGGGGGGGGAGGCCGTAGCTGGGGAGGAGGCCGTAGCTGGGGGGGGGAGGCCGTAGCTGGGGGGGAGGCCGTAGCTGGGGGAGGAGGCCGTAGCTGGGGGGGCGTGGGTGTGTGTGGGGGGGTTAGTGCAGGGGGTGTGGGGTTGAGGAGTGGAGTCTAGGAGAGACCACATTTTCCCTTACACCCTAAGCAGAAGCCTCTCTGATGACATCATTTCTCTTTAGTGTTTCTAAAGGTGCATCGAAGAGAAGATTATCTCCTCTGGTCTGAGCCACCAAAAAAGAAAATCAAAACAAAATTAAAAGTAACTGCCACCTCAACGTGCGTTTTCATTTTAAGCTAATTTCTACCAGGCCACTCTGTCTGGAAGGTGTGCACGGATAAGCTGTCTTTGCTCGTCCTCATTTGAATCAGCGACGCTCCGCCATCCCTGATTTACTCAACATGGTAAACACACCAGCGTCCCAACAATGTTCCCTTTGTGGGCTGGGATGCCATGTCTGAAATCATTTCAAGCTTCATCCTTTACCCGAGGGCGGCCTGTCATCAGCTGACCTAGGAAGTGCGAGGTGCCCGCGCGGTTAGCAGACTATTCTCTGGTTTTTCCTTTTTTCTCAAAGGGTCCTCTGCTCTCTCTTCTTATTTCTTTACCCACAGTGACCAGGGGACCTCGCTCAAGTACTGCACTTCCTCCCTCCACTTCCCCACCACCAGCACACAGAGGCAGGTGCCTCACTTGGAAATAGATGAAAATTTCTCTCTGGATTTGAACTTAATTCTCTCAGTTGGCAACACATTCAGAACAGTTCTGATCAGGACTAAACTCACAACCGGAAGAACTCGCCATTCCAGTTCTCTGCAGGGGCAGAGAAGAAACTTGCTCAGGGCCAGGTGGCCTCAGCCAGTAGATCTAGAATGTTCATGGTCGGCTCCCTAGCACACTTGAATAATTTCACTCCAGCCAAGAATTTTTTTTTTTTTTTTGGGGGGGGGGGAAACAGGGTTTCTCTGTATTGCTCTGGAGTCTGTTCTGGAACTTACCTTGTAGACCAGGCTGGCCTCGAACTCACAGAGATCCGCCTACCTCTGCCTCCCGAGTGCTGGGACTAAAGGCATGCGCCACCCAACGCCCGGCTGAGCTAAAAGTTTTAAGCTGAACATAAAGGGGGCTGGGAAGATAAGCAGTTAACAACACTGGCTGCTCTTCCAGAAGACCCACATCTGGAACTCCAGGGTTATGTCATATGTCACCCTCTGTGGCCTCTGCAGGCACACACATGGTACACAGACAGACATGCAGGCAAAACACTTGTACACATAAAAAAAAAAATTCAAATGTGCAGAAAACTTACAGGAAAGCTATACGGGACAGCATGTAAGGGGGATTGGTATAAGAGGAGACCACCCAAGAAAGCTGGGACTCTGGGGATGGATCAAGGTCGGGGCCTAGTGGACCAGACCCAAGGCTGACACCTCAGGAAGCCTGTGACAACTCCTGTTCTCTCCCAGACTCTGCATGGAAACTGTAGTCTTGCACACAAAGCAACTACATAAAGCTTGGTGGGAAGTAATTTTTTCTTCCCCTGTATCAGGAGTATGCTGATAGAATCCCCATTCCAACACAGAGGGCTCGCCCGATGATCTGCCTGCCTGTCCGTAGGGTGGCAATTTTCCAAGGGCACTGGTGTGTGCCCGTGCATCTACGTTCGCGCGCTGAGCCACCGGAGTAGGTGAACCCCGAAGCTGCACCAGACTGTGCAGGACAAGACAGGTGCCCCGAGCAAAAGCTCTCACCGGCCATTTCTTCCCTTTGTGGCTTCTATATTTCTCCCAACTTGGCCATCCCCACAAAGCCTCAGAGACCTTGCATCTCTGTCCCAAGTAAGTTTGGGCAGAGCTGGGTGACAGACAGCCTTTCTGCTCTGTAACACGGGCCTGAGTGACCTCCATGACCCTCACTCTGCACTTGACAGCCACATGGGAGGCAGGCCGTTCTGGGTCTGTGCTCTGTCTACCTGGGCTGGGTAGAGGGGAATGAAGACATACGGAAGCCTTAAGTGACAGTTTACAGCATGAACTCTCAGGGTCAAGTCTCTTCCAGGATTAAATCTGTTCAGAAGATCAATCCCAAAATAATAATAGATGTGGTGTCAGTTCAAGTAAAACCAGAGGCAAACACTCCTTTATCTTTCTGCCTCAATAGGCAGAAGAGCTTAATTTCCTGGGGATTTGGTTAACCGCCCCTGACACCTCAGCTCCTCCCTGATTGACGAGGACTTCAGGTTGTCAAGTACACCTGGGTTTGCAACAAGGCCCGAGGGGCGGAGCTGGGCATTTCTGCGACAGAAAACCAGAAACCCCATGTTGGGATTTGTGCAATCCCTTTGCTGAGGGTCTGGGAGAGGCTGACTCCCCCACACACAGCTGCCAGGGAAGAGAGCAACCTAGTCCAACTTAGAACAGACCCAGACTAACACCTCCAGCTGGCAAATGCTTCAGGTGTGGGGAGCCTGAGAGCCCCACAGCTCATCCCAAACGTGAAAACAATGCCCAGGCAGAGGAAATTATCGCTCTGTTATTAAGGATGAGAGTCCTTCAAAGGAGCAGTTGGTACATTGGTTCTTTTTCTTTTTTTAATTCCTTCCTCATTAACATCCTCTTCCCTCAAGCTCTAAGTGCAAAAGTGTAAACACTAATCCTCAGGACAGCCTGTCCTGGGGCTGGGTTTAAGGCCTCGGGCTAGCAACGTGCTCCTGGGCAGGCAAACCCACTAAAAGTGGGTGTAAATGCAGGCGTGAAAATTCCACCGGCCGGTCTACTAGCTACACCTGCCAGATGCTTGGAAAGACCCAATCAAGCAGTCAACCCTCCCCTCCCCTCCCCCAGCGTGCCTGCCACAGGCCAGTTGCATTCCTGCTGAAGGGCCCTGGCTGCTGCCATTGCTATTTTGTTGCTGCCTGTAAATAAATAAGTAAATGTAAACAGCCATGGGGACGCTAAGGTGGGGCTTATTTGTGGGCCTCGTGTCCTGCCTCCTAACACTGTAGCTGAGCTATCTGCTATCTAGAAGATCTGCAATGGGCCACTTCCCCAAGTCCTAACCATCACACCATTCCTGGGTTCTTCCAACCAACACATGGCCGACGCCGTCCGCCACTTTAATTAATTCACTCTGTTTTCTTAGTTTTGGTGCCTATTAAAAGTCAAACTAAAGATACTGTTTTTTGTCTTTGTTTGTTTGTGTTTTGTTTTCTGGAAAGAATCCTAGATGTGACTGGCTGAGGTTGGGGTGGGAGGGGGTGAGACGCAAACGGTGGACCACACCCCACAGGACACCTGGCACAAAGCTGGGTCTGCAAGCTCACAGCTGTCCAGGACACAGTTGTGGGTGGGAAGCAATGAGCTGAGGCCATGAACTGCAGTGACCTCCTGCTTCTTTGGCTGAGAAAATAAGCAGATGCTCTGCTCCCAGCAAACTCGAAACAGGATGCTGCCTTCACTTCTTAAAACCTTGGTGTAAACGTGTCCTCCCTGAAGCAACAATCATGCCTGGGTGCGCATGAGTGCATGTGTGTGCAAGTTTGTGTGTGTGTGTGTGTGTGTATAAGTTCATGTGTGTGTGTGTGCAAGTCCGTGTGTGTGTGTGTGTGTGTGCGCGCGCGCGCACGCGTGTACAAGTTCTTGTGTGTAAATGCATATAAAGGCCAGAGGTTGACAGCTAGTGTCTTCCTAAATCTCTAGTCTTTGAGATCAGGTCACTCACCTAGCCTGGCGCTCAGTGATATGGCTAGACTGGCTGTCCAGTAAGCCCCAGAGTCCTCCAACCCCCAGTACGGGATAACAGCCAAACGGCTACTGGGATTCAGTTCAAGCCCCCGTGCTTGTGAGGCAAATACTTTAACTGACTGAAGTCATCTTCTCAGGCTCTAAACTGACATTGTAAAAATGTATGTCCACAGCTCATCCCCAGTCTCCAGCAGGAAGAGGCCTCAGTTTCTCAATATGACCTCTGATCTGAAGTGGATGTACTATCAGCCACGTGGGAACAGGGGACCAAGTCTCTGTACTTAAGTAAACCCCGCTGCTCAGTCCTGTCTGCTGGCTTCTGAGGTCCCCAGCTACAGTCCTGATTTACACAGTGGGCACGGAATGACAGTCGGGTGCTAAGGGGACCTCAACGGCAGACACGACCTTGAGTCCTGGGAATAGACAGGCTTCATGCCGGGGTCCTGAACGAAGGACTTCAGCTCTTCCTGAAGCATTCTTTCATTGTTGTTTGCCCTGGCCAGCTCAGCACACACGTGTGGTGTTTAGTAGCTTTCCATCAGTCTGTCCAGTGGCCACTGGGCAATCTCACAACAGAACTCATACTTGTGGTATGAGTTTATCAACATTCCGAGCATTTTGAAAGCGGGCCAGGGCTTTCCATAAAGCAAGCTCCCACATACGGTAGAGCTGTGAACTAGCTCCATCCCTGAACGAAGTCATCACCTCCTCCTTCACCATTCAACAGATAATCGACGCTCAAGGCTCACCGACTCCCGGTGAGGATGCCCTCCTAGCCAAGCAGCATTCCCAACCCTGGATCAGGTGCTGCTACCGTTACCTGGAGACATGTACTTGGCAGGAGAAAATCTGAGTTCCTTGGCATGCATACCACGGATGAGATGCAAAGTGAGGACATTCTGCCTTCTGTTTTCAATTCCTGCCCCGTACATGTGCCTTTATTTAGCGCCACATATTTGGGATTTTTCTTGGTGTCTTAATCTTTACACAGGGTTTCACTGTGTGGCTCGGGCTGGCCTGGAACTCAGTCTGTAGACCTCACTGCCTCCCAAGTATGGGATTAAAGGCGTATGCCATCATACATGTGCCACC